CACACACACACACACCACCACCACCACCATATCAAAACTGGGTGTGTTTTCTCACAAAAGTGCTACTAGATAGCCCCCAACCCAGACCACCCAGTTCACCCTCTGTTTACACTCCATAAAAGCTCTTTCCCTAATCTACTGAGAGGCTCATCCCACACCTAATTTGAAAGGTATCCTAGGAGCTGGATTGTAAAGACATTTAATCTCAGCCACTTGAGCTGCAGTGGGAATCCTTGACCTCAGGTTGGTTGGACAAAGAAACCCACTGTCATCCTAATGTGTGAACACTGAGGCCCTACCTGCCCTTGTTGGCCTGCCGGGTCACTCCATTTATATGAGATATCCAGGATAGGGAAACCACAGAGACAATGCAGATCGGTGGCTGGTGGGAGCTGGGGGGAAGGGAGAATGGGAAGTTGCAAACTTGATGGGTGCAAACTTTTATGTTGGGGTGATGGAAAGGTTTTGGAGTTACATAAAAGTGCTGATTGCACAACATTGTGAATGTACTAAATGCCACTGAATTTTTCACTGTATTTTATTTTTTTTTTTAGTTTGTTTTTTAATTTACATCCAAGTTAGTTAGCATATAATGCAACAATGATTTCAGGAGTAGAATCTGGAGATTCATCCCCTATGTATAACACCCAGTGCTCATCCCCACAAGTGTCTTCCTTAATGCCCCTTGCCCATTTAGCCTATCCCCTCTCCCACAGCGCCTCCAGCAACCCTCTGTTCTCTATATTTAAGATTCTCTTATGTTTTGTCCCCTCCCTGTTTTTATATTATTTTTGCTTCCCTTCCTTTATGTTCATCTGTATTGTATCTTAAATTCCTCATGCTAGTGAAGTCATATATTTGTCTTTCTCTGACTGACTATACTGAATTTTTCACTTTAAAATGGTCCCTTTTATATGCCTTTTGCCTCGCTTAAAAAAAATGACAGTGGGGTCTAAGAAGTGCTGTGTAAGCATTAGCTATTATCCAGTATGCATTCCTCGACTTCCCCAAAGGAGGGCCCAGCCTGTGTCTTATATTTTTGTAGCCTCCTCTGTGAGGAGAGTGTACTGGATGTGAGATGGAATCAGAGAAATTGAGAGCTTGAAAATACCTCACAGGTCATAGAGATGATGGTTCGCCAACAGAGGAGAGAAGGGGCAAGGAGGCCATAGGCCGCAGGCCTTTCCTGTGTGTCAGGAAAGACACAACAGCGTCCCTTGTCACCATTCTCTCAGCACACGCTTATTGAGTGCTTGCCCCATGCCTACAAACACGTCAGGGAAACAGACACTTGAGCAGATGATGGCCAGAGTGTGATCGTGTTTCCACACAAGCAGTGGAAGGGAGCATCGGGCTCTCAGAGGCTTGGAGTGTCCAGTTAAGATTGCTTTGTGTTGTGCCACATAGAAACCTCCCTGCAGGGTTTAAGTGTTAGGAGTTTCCTTTTCCACATTGTAGGAAAACCGGACGTAGGCAGCACAGGGCTGATACTATGGCTTCATGGTTCATTGAGGAACCTGGAATTTTCTTTCTGCTCTACCCTTAGCACATGGCTGTCATCCTTATGGGTGTCAAATGTGTGCTCCACTCCCCAGCACTGCATCTGAGTTCCAGGTGGGAAGGCAGGAAGCACAAAGCAAAAAGGTAAAAGGCAGATATGAGCCCAGTCCATTCTCATTCTCTCTCTCTCTCTTTTTTAAGCTTTACTTATTTTTGAGAGAGAGCATGTGCAAGCAGGGGAGGGGCAGAGAGGGAGGGGGACAGAGGATCCAAAGCAGGCCCTGAACTGACAGCAGTGAGCCTAATGTGGGGCTTGACCTCACCAGCCATGAGATCATGACCTGAGCCAAAGTCAGCTGCTCAACCGGATGAGCCACCCAGGCATGTCTGTTCCATTTTTTGAAAGCTTCCCTAAGAATCTCTATCCAGCAACTTCCTCTTACATTTTATTGGCCAGGACTGGATTGTATGCTCTGCTAACTCCAAGGGAGTCTTGAGAAGTGGGTATTTTTCATTGGGTACATTACTGTCCTGAACAAAACTGAGATTGTACCAGGAAGAACGGGAGAATGAACAGAGGGCAGTCAACTGTGCAGTGTTTGCTAGAGTGACCTAGAGCTCATTCTGGGAGTTGGGGGTTGCCCAGGGAAGTCTTTCTATAGTGTGTGATGCCAGAGATGAAGTTTAGAGGATAAGTAGGAGTTACTCCGGTGAAGCAGGGTGGAGTTAAAGGCGTTCCAGGGGCACGAAACACCAGGAGTGTGTCAATTAAGGTAAGCTGAGCTACTGCAACAAAGCGCAAATTACATAACATCTCACTAATTAATGGAACGTCCAAATCAGTTGCCTGGTTTTCCTTCATGTTTTAACTCAGGGACACGGGCGCTTTCCGCCTTTGGCTCTGCCATCTTCAACCTAGGGCTTTCAAATTTGCAACTTTCCTTAGAAGGGGAGAAAGAACATGAAGAATACATGGGTGGTTTGGAGGAACAGGCCTGGAAGCAGCATACAACGCTCTTACTCATATTCCATTGGCTAGGGCTTGTTCAAGTGGCCACATGTAACTGCAGAGGAGGCTGGAAAATACAGTCTATCTATTCTCCCCAGAGGAAGAGGTAACCAGTTTGTGCAACAATGATCAGGATGTGAGAAAATGTACACTTGGGAGCAGAATGGGAAATAGGAGACAAGACCATAAGCAGTTTGATGTCGCCGAAGTTCAAGACAGAGAGGGGTGGGGATGAGACTGAGAAGTAAGTGGGAACCAGGCCACAATACTGGGTACCATTTTGGGAGCTCCTACTCCATGCCAGGCAATACACTTGGTACTTTACATATATAATCTCAGATATGTGGTGCATCTGAGTTGTGGAGAAGAGGTGGGAGATGGTCTATGTTTATTTGTCTTGCATAACAATCCTATTTCCTAGAAAATGTATAGAGCTTTATTGTATGCAAAACATAAGTACATGTACAATATTGAATACTTACAAGAATCTGGTGAGGAAAATATTCCCATCATCCCCATGAAGTGTTGGAGAAAAATGAGACTTTGAGAGGTTTAAGAACTTGTCCAAGGTCAGACAGATCCACCTCTTAATAAGCACTCTCATCCACTATGTTATATTACCTCTCGAAGAGGGTCTCATGTGTCCTAGTAAAGAGTCTGGACTTGAGCCAGCATGTGTCAAAACCTTGGGACCATAGCCATTGGGTCTGGAAAAAGCCATCTCATTCTGATGCCAAAACTGGGCTCCCTCAGAATTGCTCAGACTTACCTATAATCAGTGGCAGCAGGGGCAGGAAGGACTTCATGAAACCATGGATGTGTTCTTCTTGGGGCCACACCTGACTCTCCCAGGTGAGGAAGGTCCCCATTTTCAGAGGGGACAGGGAGCTTCAGTGCCCCTCTCTGAGCCCAAAGAGGTAGTCCTCCTATCAACCAATACTGTAGAAGAAGCCAGAATTGAGGGTGGTAGGAGAGCTGTAAGGTATTTGAGTGAGTCATTTTGGGCTCAGAACTCTCTGTGCCTTTCCTTTGAAAATGGAGACCTTCCTCACCAGCGAAAAGAGAGAGGGGAGTGTAAGTGGGACCAGAGGCAAGGCCAACTTACCCACCAGGCACAGTAACAATACTTTCAAGGGACCACAAAAATATTTTAATTAAAATCAGAAGAGAAAAATGAACCGTAGATTCAGGAAGATATTTTAATATATAGTAATATATTCATCTATATTCCAACATAGTCATAAAACCTAATTTTTAATATTTTTTTACGAAGTAAGGTCCTCACGAAGGCAAAAGTGCTGTCTATGAAAGTAATAATGAGGCTGGTGGGTGAAAGTGATGGAGAGACAGGGAGGTGTGTGTGTGTGTGTGTGTGTGTGTGTGTGTGTGTGTGTGTGTGTG